ATCAATGGTTCTTCAGCCCTGAGGGCTGCAAGCGAAACCCGCTAAAGCTGCCGGGATAACTCCGGGTTGAATTGTGGGGTCCCCGGCCTCAATGTGAATGCCTGAAATATAAAGCTGTTTTTAAAATTAAAAAAAAAGGAAAAAAAAAAGAAATGTCAGGGAGAGAGAGAGAGAGAGAGATAGATAGATAGATAGAGAGAGAGAGAGAGAGAGAGAACTGCAAAATGGGAATGAAAGGGGGAAGTTTCATTCCTGTTTGCAGAACAAAGAAAAGCGCCCGGATGGGGACATTGTGGGGGGGGGGGGGGGATCTCTCTCTCTCTCTCTCTCTCTCTCCATCCCGGCACTTTTCTTCGTTCTGCTAAATGGGAACGAATCTTCCCACATTCGCGGGGAGATTCATTCCCATTTTTCGGTTCTCTCTCTCTCTCTCTCTCTCTCTCTCTCTCCCCTCGTGCGAGACGGTGTTCTTTTGTTTTTTATTTCCTTCCATGATGAATGCGGTTTTTTTTTTGGCTTCTTTTCTTGGGGGGGAATTTTTTGATATGCCCCTGACAGTTCGATTTATTTCTGGCATGCCCCTCTAGCGGCCGACTTACCCTGTCGTGCCCCTAGGGCCTCTGAACTTTCCTTCAGGCCCCTGTCAGTGACGGGTGCGACTTTCCAGCATGCCCCTGTGACCGTTGGTGGCACTCGCAGCTGTTCCCCTGGCCCTGGGAGGGGAGCTACGGAGCATACTGGAAATTTGGAACCAGCACCGGTAGGGGCATATTGAACACAATTCAGGCCCAATTATGCAAGGGGTTTTTCAGAAACTTCAGTCATTGTCAGAGGGGCGTGGCAGGGTAAGTTGGCCGTCAGAGGGGCGCGCCTCAAATAAATCAAACTTTCAGGGGCTATCGAAAATTTTCCCTTTTTTTTTTCCCCCCCCATCAGTTTTCCCGCTACCCCGGGCATACGCGGGTTGTGGTCGGCAACCTCCCGTGTTAACTGCCGCGGTATTGTTTTTCAAGCGGGGAAACGTACTGGTGGTTTAAGAAATATTGTACTGACCGGGGTTCAAGTCCAGCACAGAAGAATACATCCAAAGTTTAAGTCAAGGCTATGCACGAGAAATAGGACTGTCCGCCGTGTCCCGTCCCAGAGTCCGTCAGAATGGCCCTCGAACCCCAGGCTTCCATGGGATGCTGGACGCGGTTTCCAGCAAGGGGTTGTTTAATGGGACAACAGGTGCGGTCCCCCACCAGTAAGAATGGAGCCATCCCATAAGCAACTCCTCGATCCAAGTATTTCCCTTACCACCACGGGGATGGAGAAGTTGCGCTGTGTTGTTTCCCAAAAACAAATTTAAACAAAAAGGAATGGTGTTCTGTGCGTGCGTGAGTGGGTGTTGACACTGCAGCAATGCAGGGTTCAAGTGGCTGTCAAGACAAGTACGGCTCCACTTGAGTAGAGTGTATTTTTGCTCCAGTACTTAAGGCGCTAGGCTCCTAAACCAGCACCCTGTTCACGTGCTGGATAGAGACCAGTGTGCCATCATGTGTTGAACTGAGCGAAGCGTGCAGAATGCCATGGTACAGAGTAGTGTCTTGTGTGTGAGCAAGTGATTACGGATGCTACAGCCATGCATGGGTGTGGTCAATGTCACAGTTGGTAGGGCTCAATTTTCTGCACTGTGTCGTGGGGGCAGTGGTTAAGACACTTGAAGTGCATGTACATTAATTTTGTCTGCTGTACGTAGCGTACTTTGTGGAATTTGGCCTAGTGGCCCGTTTTTTGGTAAGCCACAAATTTAAAGAAAAAACTTCTTGGCCAGAACTTGGTCATTCAGTTAACTGGTTGGCTTGGATCGACAGGAAACAAAAAGCCAAGACCCGTGGGGCACATGCCAACGTGCCCAGGAAAAGTGCATGGGCAAAAGGCCCGTTCACACCACAGGCCTACCACATTCACTGAGATCAAACCTAAAGTGCTATGAGCCCACTGCATGTAAACAGAACGGCAGAGAGAGAGTCACACATTCCCCTGAGTTGTGCATCCTGTCCGGACCCGTCAGCCACACATAGCACTTGGATTTCCCCCAACTTCCCCCCAAGGCAACAGGTTTTGGGCAAAGCAAGAGCAGAAGAACACATGACATTGTTCATCCTGCTCACCCGAGAACTGGCCAACGCAGGGCCACTATTGAGGGATGCTCATATCACGCGCAATGGTACCCCTGATGGACATCGGGGGAAAAAACCAAAAAAAAAGAGGACCTTTTCTAATGAGCTGTGGAGGGGATGATGAAAAGTTGCATCCCTGTCTAGACGTTATTCCAGTAAGGTACATTTAGAAAAGTGCTAGTGTGAGTATGCCTTGAGCTGGGCACTAAATGGGCTCTTCAGGACAAGCAGCTGGGGAGTCTATGTTCCAATGCCTATCAAGTGCCCGCCCTGTGGCAATGGTTTAAATTGTTTTTTCTTTTTTTTTCGGGGGAGCATAAGCCCCAGTTGTCTTGTCTCAATTGTCTGTGCATCTATTACCATATGCATGGAATGAACCAGCACGAAAACTTGCAGTCCAGTTGGCAATGCCCTTTTTGATTGGTCCCAGCAGCTTGCTTCTCTTTTTTTTTTTTTTTTTTTTGGGGGGGGGACAAAAGCTCCAATCTATTCATGGGGAGCAACATGTGCTGGGAACCGGGCCCAGCGTTCCATATAAAATGATACAAGAAATTTGGAATACCAGGGCCATTACCTGGCATCGGCTAAGAACAGTCTGAGAGTACCAGGGCCATTACCTGGCTTCGGCTAAGAACAATCTAGAAATTCCAGCTAAGAACAATCTGAGAACCACGAAAAGAGTGCAGAAGAACTTTAACCAGCAGCTTGCTTCTCAGTTGCGCTACTGGGCCTTCCCCGAGCCCTGAAAATCTCAAAGATTCTCCAGTTGCCTGGGGCCATGTAGTGGTGGGGGATGGATAGAAGTCCAAGGAATCCGCTGCAAGGAGTGGACGAGCGGGGCGGATTTCGTAATCTAAGGTCTTGAGATGTCATTGTGAAGCTGACCGGCCCTAAGAAGATAAGAATTAGTTGATTTCATCCATCTGGATCCAGCTTGATTCGAACTCAGGTCTGTATTTCAAACAGTCCATGGGTTTACCAACTGAGCTAGACCAGTTGGCGTGTGTATTACAGAAACTTTGTTGTTCTCTATTTCTGCTTTTCCCTGTTTTTTTTCCTGGATATCTTTTTGACCCATAACTTCTACATGTTCCCAGCCTCTTGCATTCACCAAAACGACTGTGTCAGTGCACGGGTTCACCTGCAGTTCCTGGTAGCCTACACGCTGAGCCTCATGTTTAAACGTGCTGCAATGACCCGCACCGGGCCGCACGAATCAGTCTGAGATTTATGCTGTTTTGAAGTGTTTTCCGAGTATTGCTGCTTGCAGGTCCGGTTTGCTGAGATTTCCTTCTGTGTTTTGTGTGCGTTGCATGTCTGTAAGTACCTGTGTGATGATTGGTTTGCGGAGTATGAACTGTGTGCTTGCGCTGTGTTTTCTGTGTTCCGGGAGTGGTAGATACTTAGATTAGAAATAAGGAAACTGAGGGACAAGACTGAAGTTGGGGACTGGACTGGGCCAGGACGGACAGGACACAAGTAGAATTCAGGTAGGGTGCAGTGCATATTTTCCAGTGACTTGGGTACCCCAAAGCGAAGTCCGGTAGGCCCAGAAGGACCCAGTAGCTTTCAAAAGGTCATGAGTAGTCAGGGTGCGAACCTAGATATCAGGTAGGTTAGGTTCAGGCCCTGTGGTAGACTTGTAGGCTGCAATGATTTTCCCAATTCAAAAAGCAGCTTCTGGTAGGCCTAGTACTACTCAGGAGAGGGAGTGGTACCACGGCCTAAGTGAAGCCCTGAGGCCGAGTTGGAAGAGTATGGGCCTCGCCACACCGCTGTCGAAAATGGGATTTCTCCCCTCCCCCCCTTCCCAAAGGCATTATGGCCTTGAGATATCATCACTGAACTGACCGGGCCCTGGTAATTCAGTAAGTAGTTTATTCTGTTCATCTGATTGCATCTGGATTTGAACTTGGGTTTGTATCTCAGCAGCTCGTAGGTGTACCAACCGCCCCAGGTCCCAGGCTTGTTGGTAAAATCGAGATTTTTAACAGTTTCTACTCGCCACACAACCTTTGAAATAGATGACGGTACCCAACTCACTTGTTTATGTCGTTGTTTGAATCAATTAACTTAGATTGATTGACTTCACTTAATGAATAACCGTCTGGACTGGACGCCAGCTTTGCCAACTTTGGCTGGTTAAATTTAAGGTATGAAAGAAACTCCTTGTAACAGTGGGATGCACTTTGACTTGATACCGCTGCTGCATAGCTGACGTCAGCTTGTGTCTTCAGCTTGCGTCCGATAACAAGCTAGCTGTGAGAAAACTGGTTCCGAATAGACACTTCCTATCGAAAGAGGTTGCATCCCACCACACACACACACACACACACACACACACACACACAGAGAGAGAGAGAGAGAGAGAGAGANAGAGAGAGAGAGAGAGAGAGAGAGAGAGAGAGAGAGAGAGAGAGAGAGAGAGAGAGAGAGAGAGAGAGAGAGAGCCAGCAAATTCAACATCTTCAACGGTGGCCTGCAGGCTGCCGCCCTGTCGGTTTTGCCTTCAAATTTTGTGCATGGGCATCAGGTTGGGACGGACGAATGGTTGTCCTATCCTCACTGCAGGTGGGTTTGTCTTTTCTGAACTTGCATTTGGGAGTTGCCGGTTCAACAATGCCTTGTGGTGAATCCTTGAAGGAGGGGTAAACTGTCGAAGGGGCGGCTGTCTGTCGAATATCCTCTGACAGCCATCAACAATTTGAGGATTCTGACAGCCTTATGGCGAGCCCCTATATCATTCGGGCACAGTGAGTGATACCGACAGCCATGCTGCTGCTCCGTCCAGAGGGTGTAGGTAGGCCGAGCTCCGGCTGAGCGGTGGAGCTGGAGAGTGGAGAAGAAGACTTCCCTGGCTATGGAGGTACAGGGTGAAGCGTCCCATCCCAGTCTTAGCCTGTGACCCTCCGGAGAAGTCTCAGAGAAGATTGAAGAGGATCAGAAAGGGGAGAGAGGGAGGAACCGACAGGACGGACTCACCTGTGGCTATGGTTGTCCTCCACCTTCACTTCTTTAGTGCTGCATCTAGAAGGCCCCTGTGTTTGTTGCAGTTGGTCTTGGACTTCTTCCGGGAGTATGGCTATGGCGGATTGAGGTGAGAGAGGCATAGTAGAGATTGCGTTGTCCTTTGAGCGGGGATGTTCCGCTACAGTGGTAGACTGGTAGTCACAACCGAGGAGAGAGAGGTGAGGTTCTTTCGGTGCTGCCAATAACGGGAAATGCTCAGGACATCATTCCTGTTCATCCATTCATTCATTGCTTTAATTGATTATGAGGAGCGGTAGGGGAGAAGAGATGACAGAAGGAAGAAGTGAGGGGGAAGACGTTGGTTGAACTCGTGTAACTTAGATTATTCTTTTCATTCTGCTCCGCTCTTTATCTCTCTCCACTTGTTTTGAGATTCTGCAAGTCTTGCATGTTCTCGCAATTTGAGTTTTGCATTATGGATGTGGCAGGATCATACCCGTGACCGTATAGACACACAAAGAGAGAGAGAGAGAGAGAGAGAGAGAGAGAGAGAGAGAGAGAGAGAGAGAGAGNAGAGAGAGAGAGAGAGAGAGAGAGAGAGAGAGAGAGAGAGAGAGAGAGAGAGAGAGAGAGAGAGAGATCATTGTCATGGGTTCCGCAATGCATTGGGAAGGTGGCAGGATTGAGATCGGCAGACCGCCTGACGACGATGTGTCAGTGACGACCGGGATCTCGACACCTATGGGCACCTCGCCCTCTCCGGGCAGCCTCACACCTGTACCGGGATTTGCCCAGGGGGACTTCGATGACAAAACTGCTTACACTCTGACATTTCAGAACCTGACGTACAAGGTGACCGTGAAGAAAGGCAGCGGCCCTGGAGGCAAGTCACAGAAGGACTTGTTGAAGAGCATCAATGGAGAGGCTCGCCCTGGGGAGATCTTGGCCATTGTGGGTCCGTCGGGAGCGGGGAAATCCACACTCCTGGACGCGCTTGCTGGTCGCATCACGGCCACAAGCCTAGAGGGCGTCATTCTGGCCAACGGGAAACCCATGGACAGCAAGCAGTTCCGCAAGCTCTCGGGTTACGTTATGCAAGATGATGCCCTGTTTCCGCATCTCACAGTGAAAGAGACGTTGATGTTCAGCGCTCGTCTCCGGCTTCCTGGTGACATGCCGATGCACGTCAAAGCCGCGCGCGTCGACATGCTTATCGCGATGTTGGGCCTACGTGAATGCGCACACACCCGGATAGGCAACGAGCAAGTCCGCGGTGTATCGGGGGGCCAGAAGAGGCGGGTCTCCATCGGTGTGGATCTGATCCATGACCCCGCCGTTCTGTTCCTGGACGAGCCCACCTCTGGACTCGACAGCACCTCCTCGCTGAACGTGGTCCAGAACTTGTACCAGATTGCGACCACTCGCCGGCGCACCATCTTGTTGACCATTCACCAGCCTAGCTTTCGCATCCTGGAGCTTATCCACAACCTCATGATCTTGGCACGTGGCTCCTTGGTGTACAGCGGTAGTTACCCCGACCTGTCGCTCTTTCTGACCGACTACGGCAGACGCGTCCCCGACCATGTCAATGTGCTGGAGTTCGCTCTGGACGTGATCGAGGAGCTGCAGGAGTCGCCGCACGGTGTCCCTTCCCTTGCTCACTTCCACTCTACCAGATCCAAGCTGCAGCAGCCCCCTTCCTTGGCTGGGCTGAGCAATATCGGACAGCTGGCAGACGATGCAGACTACGCCACAGGTCCATTGCTGGAGACGTGGACTCTCTGCCACCGCAACGTCGTCAACGTCGCTCGCACTCCGGAGTTGTTCGTGTCCGGGCTAGGACTGATGCTGGTCAGGGGACTGGTCCTGGGTTCGCTTTTCTACGACGTGGAAAACGACAAGAGGGGTACCTTGGACAGGAGCTCCTTCGTTGCCTTCACTTGTGCCCTTACGCTGTTTGGCACCATCGACGCTCTGCCCATTTTCTTGCTGGAAAGGAACATCTTCATGCGCGAGACGAGCCGAGGAGCCTATCGCACTTCTTCCTACGCCGTTGCCAACGGCGTGGTTTTCCTCCCCTTCTGGTTCATCCAGGCCTTGCTGTTTACCCTGGCTTCTTACTTCTTGGTCGGTCTTTCTCTTGATCCCTCTGCCTTTTTCCAATTCACCACCATCATGTTTCTCACCGTCACCGTCGGCAACACGTTCGTCACATTCTTGAGCTCTCTGGTGCCCGACTTCATCGTCGGCAACACCGCCATCTCTGCGGTCACCGCTTTCATGTTCCTCTTCTCCGGCTTCTTCATTCCTAAGGCTAACATTCCTCACTACTGGATCTGGCTGCACTACATCTCGATGTTCAAGTACCCGATAGAATCGCTGCAGAAGAACGAATACCAGCACATAGACCACTGGCAAGCCGGGATCTCCGGAAGCGACGTCGCCCGCCAACTGGGTCTTGGGGATGTGAGCATCAGAGTCAACATTGCCGTTATGGTAGGGATGGTGGTTGTCTATAGGGTACTCTTCTATGCTGGTCTTCGATGGAGGAGCTCCTATACGCGAAAGTAGTAAGTAGACTAAGTACTAGAGGATCGGAAGCATGTTTCGCCCCTGGACACTGCAGTCACTGCAGTGCTTGTAGACTGGATGATCTCTGGATCCTCTTCAGAGTGTGCATCGATCTTCCTGCGAGGAGCTTCAACATGCCAAAGTAGATGGGGTTGGAGTTGCAGAATTTTTTTTAGCTCTCCTCTTAATCAGCAACGCATAACGTAATCAATAGTGTTCTTCATGGCCATTCATTTGTTTCAACGACTTTCGTTTGTGAGAGGGAGGGAGTACAGTACAGTGTGTAAGGAAACTTGGGGGGGGATTCGACCAAAGCTACTTGTGTGTAATCTTCGGCTGCAACTATGTTCTTCGCATCCATCGGCTGCGACTATGTTCATCGCATCCATCCTCAGTGGCGACGTTTGCCAGGGGTAGCACGGCTAACGAGGACGCATGAAGAATGCTTCCCCGATCGCATGTAGTATAGCACAGTGTGGGAAGCCGGGGTATGAGGAGCCGGGTTTGCTGAAAGGGATGGCTAGCTGGCTATTAGGAATTAGTTGCAAGGTGTATAAAAAAAAAAAAAAAAAAGAAAAAAAAAAAAAAGAAAAAGGAATTAGTTGCAAGGTAGAGGCGTTTCCGGACTGGGCAGGGCAGTCTCGCCCAGTTTCGTCTCTATTTCTCGCATTTGTCGATTTTTTTCCTGCAATTTCTGTGGATTCTCTATTGCTCGTACTTCTGCGATTTCAGCAATTTCTACAATGTCTGCAATTTCTGCAATTTTCTGCAATTTCTGTAATTTCTGTAATTAACTTCTGTAATTCTATAATTTCTGTAAACTGTCTGCAATTTCTGTAATTTCTGCTGTTCTTGTAAAACCGTAATATTTCAGCCACTCTGGTCGGGGCCTGGTATTTTCTGGCATGGGGGACGAGAGGCACCCTTTTTATTTTTTATTTCTTATTATTATTAATATTATTATCATTATTGTCTTAGAAGAAAGGCCCCAATCACACTAATGTCATTGTCAATGACTCTGGGCCTCGCTCCACTTCACAACAATGTACATGCATCTGGAAGCTATCTGGGCCAGGTGCATTCTGACGAGTCCCAGACTTCGAATGCATCCCCGGTCTACAGGGCATCCTAATGCATGTAGAGAGTTATTAATCAGCCCGTACTCAACAGCTTCCATGGGCGGCACGTAACGATCTCGGTCAGTTCCTGTAGCCACGACATCACCACGTCATACAGTTTAGCCTCCGAGATTAGACGGACGAAGGGTTTTTTTTTGTTTTTTTTTGTTTTTTTTTTTTTTTGTTTTGGTGCTGATAAGAGCAGACACCTCCCCCCAATAGATAGACGGACGAAGTTGTCCTTGTGGTGGTATTGGATTTTTTCCTGAGCCTGGCCGCTCGCGCCACCCAAAGGCTGGTGCATCATGATGCGCGTGTTGGGCATTGCAAACCGCTTGCCTTTCGTCCTCTTCATCAAGACAATAGCAGCCGTTCATGGAGCAATACCCATGGCAATGGTGGAGATGGCGGCACGGCACAACGGCATGGCATCAAAAGTACCCAAGGTCGCACGATCGAACCGGTGGGACAGTTAACAAACAGCCAAATGTCTCGTCTACCTTCTTCCCCCCAATACGACGTACGGTCATTATAGCTGTACTTAGACTGAAAGATGCCCCAAAATACAGAAGCTATAATGACCGTACGTTGTATTCGGGGGAAGAAGGTAGGATCCTGAGCGTTTGAGGAGAAGGAATTGGCTGAGATGACTGTGTCAGCGACAAAATCGTCGATTTGATGGCACGATCCGCTCGCGGAGGGGCAGGCCCATCACATCGGCCTCTTCCATGCTTTGTTGAGAGGGCGGCGTCTCTGTGGCACAGGGCCTCGCTCCACCAGACAACACTCTACATGCATTTAAACGGTTTCAGTGGACTCTATACATTCAAAATCTTGGACTCGTCCGGACGAATCTGGTCCAGAACCCGTTCAAATGCATGTAGAGTGTTGTGTACTGTAGCTACGCCCTTAGAACGCAGAAAGCGCTGACGATGGATGACCTACAGCTGTGATGTGTTTACCCCGACGGCTGCTGCATGCGCGCCACTGCATGAATACAGTATGTGTGCCACGACACAGACCCCCACCCACCCTCCTCCGCCGCGTCACAGATGTGCACAGCCTGCCGGACGACAGAGCAGCGTTCCGAGGGCGGCAGCTGATGACAAATTCAATTGCGAGCGAGGAAGATTCTTGGCAGTGCTTTCCCCCCGATGCAAGAAAAGCCGGCAAAGAAAGGCACTCGCAACGAGGAGAAGACAAAAAGGAGGAGGAGGAGGAGGAGGAGGAGGATGGCGCCAACGGCGAACGGACCACCGAAAATGATTCTTGAGATAACGCTGCCAAGGCCGACGTGTGTTGGATTGTCATAACCAGCCTACCCGGTCCGGATATCTGCCCGTGCCAGAACAGCGGAGAATAGGGGCGCCATGGCTACCACCACTTCGATCTACCGCTTGAGCTGGGTAGCCCGCCTCCGCAGCCAGTCAGGTTGTCTTCCTCCTCCCACACAGAATCACCCCTATGACCGCAATCCTACCTGCCTGCTGTCACAAGGTCTGCCATGTGTACGCAAACACGATGGGAGGAAAGCGTTGCGATGATTGCTCGTTGCTTTCCACTTCTTCATTCCACATACTACGTGAGCTCGACGGGAGGGGGTGCTGATAGTCGAAGGAGAATAGACTCTGGGCCTTGTTGCACCACTCGCCATCTATCAACATATGCAATGCATCTGGACATGAAGTCTGTCGAGATGCGTTCAAAACCTTGCTGGATGGCGAGTCGTGCAACTACGGTAGGCCCTCTGCACCATCGACTTACTGTAATAAGCCGAACGAGAAGAAGCCTGGATGACGGAATGATCATCATGACTGTCAGATCAGGGGGGTGGGGTGGAGGGTGGGATCATGGGGTTGGGCCGGCACAGGGCCACTCTGACCAGGAATCCTACCCCTTGCAGAGAGGGTTCGTTATCTGATGATTGGTGGTGAATGGCCCTCTCATCTCATCTGGCTAAGAGGCGTTGAGCTTGCAGTAGCCATGGCTCTCGAGCCGTTGTGGTCGCTCTTGCTTCGCTCCAGAGGCCTCGCGGAGGCCACGAAGGGCACGACTTTATTGTTTTGCCCTGCCAAATTCAGAAGAGTGGCGGGGACTGGGGGACGGCGGGGCGAGGGAGAGGGGATGTCTACATCTAGAGGGGCGGGGGGATGGATGGGTACATGTCCGAAAGCTTCGACAGGAGAGAGAGAGAGAGGGGAGGCGTGTGTGCCAAGCCTATCGGAGATTTGAAGGAGCGTAGGTACGGATCCCCGTGAGAGAAAACAGCGGGGAGGAATGGTTGTGGAGCGGCATGTGTGCATTCTCAGGGATAGTGGCGGCGGCTGCCCACGCATAAGTAGGGGTGGATGTGGATGTCGATGTGAATGGTTTGGGGTGGGTGGGAAAGCGAGGAGAGGGGATATGGCTGAGCCACAGAGAGAACGTAAGACTGATGTGTGTATCTTTATGATAAGAGGGGGACACTTGAATATTAGAGATGGAGAAGGGAGGATGTGTACACCTCCGAGCCGACAGTGGGACACCTCCAGGGCAGAATATCGATGTTGCTCTTGCCATCAGTCTGCATGAAGGTGGGCTGCACATTTACCAGTCGATATGGGAAGAGACTGCCAAGGATGGTGCTATAGGAGCCCCGGTAGCACCCTCGTCAGATGGCTTGTGATGCGCAACCTCACGCCCCACGCGAGGCCCGATCAGAGTTGTTAGGGGCGTGGCCGAGGATTTTTGGGCCGTGGGGGTTGATTCACCCGGGCGGAACGGGGGACTCTTGTCTCAGCCCGAGGTGCCGGGACGGTTCGAGCTGTCGCTGAAAGTGGATCGCGGGAGAACGAGGCCCTACGGCCCTATCGTCAGCGCTTTCGGGAAAAGGGAAAAAAAAGGAGCAGTGGGGTCGTCGGGAAGGGAGTTCCGTTCCCCGAGGCGCATGGTTCGCGCGGCCCTCTCGGGGGGCCATGCTCCGGAGGTGGGTCAGGCCTCGTTGTCAGACTCGTCGAGTCCGTGGGATCGGTTCGGCACGGGTTCACCTGGGGTCGGGCAAGTCGGTGGGACCCGAGTTCGAAAAAACGGGCGGGGAGCGCGCCCGTGTTGCGGGAGAGTTCGGGGAATCGGGTAGCCCCTTCGTACCTCAGGACGAACCGTCGCCACGAGCACGAGTCTCCCTAGCGATACCAGTGACACTTGAAACGTGGTTGCCAGATGGAGTGCACAGCATACCAGGGCAGCACCGTGAGGTCGGTGTACGGCAAGATCAGAGGCGGGGAAGCAAATCGCTCAATCAACACAAACCCACTCCCGCCTATGTGGCACGCCTGGGTCGGGTTATAAAGATGGATTGGCTCCGTGCGCCGCAGCAGGGTCCGCACGTCCGCATCGCAGTATACGCCATCGTCATCTGCGATCGGGAAAGGCGGAAGCGTGTTGTGACGCCCGGGAACGAGGTTCGAGCTCGGGCCACGGCCCGCGCTTTCATCCGTCGGGACGAAACCTGACTCCATGCAAAACTCAACGTATACCGCCGCGGAAGGATGCGCTCAATTCCCTTTCTCCGTCTCTTTTCCGTAGCATCCACCTAAACGTGGCGCCGGGCCCCTTGGGTGGACATAGATAGGTCGGCCGCTCTGCACGTACGCGGGTGGCTGATCTACCTAGAAGTGTCCTCCTCCCCTTTGAGTCCCGACCTGTGTGCAAAGAGAGAGGGAGAGAGAGACGACGGAGGGAGGAGGGCGCATATCACACACACACACTCGCGCGGGCTAAGGACAATTAATCAAGAAACAGGGAGGAAAACGAAAGGGACCGACCCACTCATGTACTCATGTCGGCAATCAACACTCGACACCCTATGGTCATCCGCTCCTACTAAAACATTCACATTCATA